ATTACCAATGTTAAAAATAAAATAAAATATAGCGGAGTGTGGGGCTGGGCGTTGCAGTGTAGTGCAGCATAGCAAGACGTAGCAGATGTGAATAGAGTAAATGAAATAAAATTTAAGATTAGAATTAGATACTATTGAATACGATAGAGTACAATTAGATGGTATTAATTAGCTGTAAGTACATTTTTGGAGTGTACATATGTATGTGTGTAAGTGTGTGTGTGTATATATGCGTATACGCACATGTACGTGTGTATATGCATATGCGTATGTATATGTGTATATGAGTATATATGAATATGTGTGTGTGTAAGTATGTATGTCTGTGTGTGTGTGCGTGTGAGTATATACGTATTTGTGCGTGGTGCGTGCGTGTTTGGGTGTGTGCACAGAGTCTGAGTTTCACATGTGTACGCGTGAAATGGAGGCTTTCTCGCTATGCTGGGGTATACAGTGTTCTAGGTAATACATTATATTTAATTTACATTTGTATAGTGAAATTAATTGGCTACCACCTGGCAAAGACGCCAATTGTGGCCAAAATAAATATATTATTATTATAAGATACAAAAATCTTAGCTTTCTAAGCGTGACGTCACAGAGATGGCCCCTAGCACCAAGGGCTGAAATGTAGGTCATGGTGGAATATATTATAGTAGTCATGTGTAGACGGTATTGGTAGTATCAATAAGCACCGAACCTGCAAAAATTTAATAGAATGTCCAAGAATTTCTCATCCTGCAGACTACGGAATGAGACTACGGAACGTCTCTTTGAGGCCACAGACCTCGAAATTTTAGTTTTTAAGGCCCTAAAAGTGAAAGATTCGTTTAGGAGGAAAAAACTATATACCTTATCCAGTATTGCGGGTTGCATTTGACACGAATATTTAGATGTGTTTTTTTTAAACAAATCCTTAATATTTTTAAAGTACAAATGTAGTTTATCACGTCTTCAAGAAATTATATTTCTTTAGATACCTCATTTATGAGACAAATATATGTAAGATGCAGAGTAGTTGTTAAAAGAAAATTGTGGAGATTAAAAATAAACACTGAAGAAATAGATGTAAAGAAGTAAGTAAATGGATGGGGAGTACAAGATCAAGAGAATCATGAAAATTTGTCAGTACAATCCAGAATAATAAAAAAGAGCATTGGAAAGTGGACCCAATAAGCCTGGAAAAATTGAGAAGATATTAAGAAGATCTACTAACTGAGAATTGAACAGAGTATATGAAGATTTCGTATGAAACTCAAGAAACTGAGGAAAATGTTCCACAAATAACAACAAAGGAAGTCAGTAAGGCCCTCATGACAACGAAAAGTGGCAGAGCCTCGGGTTCTGGAGGTAACCCAAATTGAATTAATTAAAAATGCCCCTTCAAGTGCCATCGATATCATGGCACAGATATTCGATAAATGTTTAAATGGAGATTTAGCTCCTGAAGAATGGAAAATGGCACACATTTCTATTTCTGTATTCTATTTATAAGAAGCACCGACGCCGACGCCGACGCCGACGCCGACGCCGACGCCGACGCCGACGCCGACACGGGCACGAGCACTGCTACTGCTACTGCTACTGCTACTAAATCATTTATAAAGATCGGTTTCGACACCCACAAAACGTATGTATACTACTGAAATAATATAGGAGACGATGAACGAATTCATTGTCACTACTCCGCGCCCCATCGTCTCGCAGTTTCATCGTTGCCCCCGTTAACCGTGATCAAGCATACTTCCAACATTCTTCTCTAACAACACTTTATGCGTAGTGAGGAATAAGCTTTCTCTTTTGCAACTGAATGCTGTTGAATGCAATGGAGCATTGACGGAATAGTTATTCCACCAATTTCTACTACAATAGTTTCAATAGTTCCATCTATGGATTAAAAAACACATAATATGACGAACAATTACATATCTTATCAAAACAACATAACTACATCGAAAACACACACGAGGAACATATTTTTATTTACTTTTTATTTTACGCCAAAAACAGTTAAATATGTATGTGACAGGCTACAGAAGAAGTGTATTCTGGGCAGTTTTCTTAATTCTGGGATCCCTACCCTAAGGTATATACAAATATAGTAATACGACCATATCGCAAGTCCAATAGAAATATGACACAAGGGCAATTTTCTGATTTCTCAGAAATTGCAGTTTTAAGTTTCGCAGTTCTGTAATACGCGTTATAGATTGTACCAAATATTCACCTGTTAGCGGACAGTAATTGAACTAATTCAAAATCAACTTCAGAATAGTAGCAGTACCTCTTGGTAACCTCTTATCTGTTTTTAGCTGAAAAATGACGATTTCGCACTTGTGTCACTTTTCTATTGGAGGTGCGATATAGCCATATACCCTAAGCCATATGTGAACACGTTGATCTAGGGTTGGGACCAAGATATTTATGTCAGGCATGCGAGTGTGGATTAATACAATCACCAGCGGGTTTAGGGTCCCCCTGAACAGGATTAAAAATATTGGTTTACAAATATTTAAAATAATTGAATATTCATTTTTAAAATTGTAAATGTTAAATAGTAGTTTATTTTCAATTTTTAATAATAATATATTCTTTGGGTTGCTTCGTCGTAGTTAGGCCCCCACAAGACATTCATCCGGCATTGATCATGGGGCTAAGAGATGCATTTTTCATTATTCATGGCTGGAATCAGAATACATTTTGTTTTTCCCGCTTAGGCTAATAAAATCATCCAGCCCTGAGTTGAACAGAGACATCTGGTGCTATTATGAGAAAACGCGGAGAGGCGCGATGTTTTGTAAGATTCGTAAGATTCTGATACGTAACCAGATATCAACGTAATGTACGTAGCAAAAGTTATTATGTTGCATATTAATACTAGATTGAGGAGTGAATCAATGCAAAATACATTTATGAACTTATTTGCCGGTAAAATATTTAGGTTACGTTGATTTTTTGTTCTAAGTGAGGTTTTGTGAACTTTGACCTTATTCCCTTTCTCTGTATATGAATGTTAAACACTACTGAGTTCAATATTTTCTTTTATAGGATTCGCCTCAATAATTTAGAGGAAATTTAAGTTGAAGTTGTGAGAACGCGGACAAGTGAAAATGTCACTAAAAAGCTCCATACCTATTCTAAAACCAAAATTGTTCAGAATATGTTTGAGGCAGGCAAGATACACTAGTGAGAGGTGACTAGTACACATGAAACTCGAAGATATAATAAATACTTCCGTGTTTTGGGTGATGCATGTTGCAATCAATTGAAGATTAATTGTACCTGTTTATTATTTGTTAGCTCTTCAATAATAGGTCGAGATTTCATAAGCCCAGAGGACTTCTCTGCCAAAGACATTAAAAAATTTCTGTGGATTGCAAAAGATTTTAAACATTCTAAGGGGGTGAAATGCTCACAGGTATTTTTAAGAATATAAGGTTGAATTATCCTTGATTTACTCGTACATATTTGTCTCAATAACCATAACCTATTGCGTTTGAAGAAGAATTAAATACAGTCATACGCTATCCTTTTTGCTTTGCAACAGATTCTAGGTGGTATAAGGAATTGTAATGCCACTGTCATCATGGCTAAACCACAAGTTTATTGCCAAGTGTCAATATCAAATGCACTGCACTACCTTGGTTGCTCAACCAATTTAGTGATTGATGAAAACTGGGAAAAATCTTCATGTGGTATAACAGATTTGGGAAGGTTGTTACAATTTTTGTTTAACAGAAAATTAATTGTTTACTTTTATTTTCTGTTGCTTTTTTTCCTGACTTTGTATTGGTTGGCTTTGAATTTATTAAAAGTTTTTGATAACACTTACACTAATTAAAATGTAATTGTATATGAGTGACAGTCTTGTAAAATTATGGTGTGTAATTTTTCTAGGGCACTTTCAAAAATTACCAATGTGATTATTGCTGTGGGTTGTCATCACGATAGTGTGATTGCACTACGTGATGGTGCATCAGTTCCTGTGGTTAATTTTAAGTCGTCATCATTCCAATTATTGGCATGTTTGGGAAATCTTCTCACAGTTCAAGAGTGTTATGGTTTTCTAAAGGGACTTAAAATTGCATGGATTGGACCGTCTCATGCTGCTCTGTACACCTACATTTTTTTGAGTCCCAAATTGAATATGAATATACAGTTTACTGCTACATGTGGAGAAGATCAGGTTTGAGTTCATTTAAAGCGTTTTGGTTATGGACAATATTCATTATACTTTACTGTTTTCTGTGAGTTTATCATGAATTTTAAATCCCAATTTACTATTGTTGTAACTTATTTCAAGTTGATTGAATTTATAAATAATAATTAATTATTTAATTTCAATAAATTGGTTTCAATGTGTTATAGTTCATCTCATATTATTTTATTTTTATGTATTCCACTTCTTCAAATTTCTTAGTCTTGTTACTATTATTCAAAAATAACACTTCATAAACTATTTTTTTTATTACTATATTACATACCTTTAATCATAAAAAAATGAAATTGAAAAATTTGACGTAAATCAATAATATCTGATCTGGGTCAAATCGTATGAGCCCTCATAGTTATGCATTGCTGGAGGGAGAGGGCATGAGAGAGGGGCAATTGTCCACCCGCTCAACCTTGATCCTCTTTAAATTAAAACATACCAAATAGTATTCTTTAAACATGTTTTTGAAATTAACTCTTATAAAATGAATGAAAGTAACATTCCTTTTACTCTGCCATACACCCTTTTAATGAAAAGCAGCTGTTACCAGATTGCATAGGATAATAATGTGATTACGATCATTAGTGCTAGAAGAATTGCTCATTGGAATATACTTATTGAGTGAACACAGTATACTTGTTTCACAAAAGTGGGAGGAATATAAATATTAAATCGTGAAGATATTTTCAGAAATTGGTGGAATATTACAAATTTATTTCTTCAATTATGTTCAAAAACCTTCTTGTTTGTAAAAGTTAAATAATATAGGAAAGTATAATAATAGTATTATTATTATTTTAATTCTTATTTCTCTTTTGTCCTGTGATATAAATTCTGACTACGACCATAGCAGTGAAGCTCCATTAACTGTTGTGTAACTGTGATTCATGAGTTGTGTAGAAGAGAAGGAAATGTTAAATTGAAAACATCTATTACATATTTGAAAATTATATTTACTTTTTTTAAAACAAAGTATGTATACAAGTGAATGTTTCATTCTTTTTAAAGCGTCATCTGACTCCTTGATCTTTTCCTAGGTGGAGAACCAAGATTTATTACAGATAGCTATAAGATATGCTTCTAAATGTGGAGCTGAGGTTACCCAGTGCCTTGAAGCTAAAGATGCTGTGTATAGAGCTCATGCTATTATAACAACGAGGCATTCATTTCCTGAATTGCAAATCACTAGAGAAGTAAGTAAAATCTTTGAAATTTAATCAGTGTTTTTGTTAGGAAAAAATATTTTCCAAAATCACCTTACAATAATGAACTTGTAATAAAAGAAAAGAAAAAAAATAAAACTCATGCACATACAGCAGAGACTGGACCTATGAATGTTAGTGTTTTGCAACTATTCTTCATTTTGTTATTACACTGTTTAAAATATAATAATAATATTGTAAGAAAAAAAAATCTGGTGAGTTCAAACAATCAATTACGGTCAGAAATGTGCAGTCTCGTAGCCTACTCATTTATATGGCTTGAAACTTGCATAATCTATGTAGAATTAACTTGATTGATATTCTTTGTAATTTAATGTAAGGACTCTAAATATCTGTTAATAAACGATTAGCAATATTAAATGTTTACTATGCCCAGCACTGAACCTATTTACTTAAAAGACAAAATAAGTTAAAAAAAAATCAATAAATAATGTAGGAAAATTGAAAATAAAAAGATACATGCTTCTGCATTTTGTATATCTAGATGCTCTTACCAAGTAGTCTCCTTTTCACCTTTATTACAACCTGAATGTTCTTTCCCTCATTTTACTTCACAAATAAATCAGAATCATTATACATATTACCTCACCTCAGGAATTGTTACTCTGAATCGCTAGGTATGTTACTCTGAATTTCTATGGTATCTAAAATAACAAGATAACTGGTTTTAAACTCTGAATTACAGGACACTTTTATTACTATTTACATTTATTTTTACTCCTTTTCCATTTTCCCACAAATATTTAACGTTTGGATCTATCTATTAAACTCAAGAATGCTATTAATAGGAATTGCAGAAAATTCTTACATATTTAACCTTTTAAATGGCACATAATTATTAAAAGTGCTAGAAATAATAATGTTCTTTGTGATATTTTTGATGTAATTTTTGCAGCCTTTAAACATTTTTGATTTAGCATTTATTATTCTGGTAATATTTACCATAGTGTTCAACATGTCTTGATTTAGAAACTGAAGTTTTGTTCTCTCTGAAATGTTTGTTTAAAGATTAGTTTTGATTGCCGTGTATTTTGTACCGGCTGCAGTGCCTCTGACTGACTGGTCCTAGGGTTTGAGACCTGACAGTGGCAGGAATTCCCACACTAGCCACATAGCTGGCTTCTAATGGCCTAATGGCTTCTAATGGCCAGCTGCTCTGATTGGTAGTTTCCCCCATTTTTTCCAATCAACACAAGGTGAATACTGGAGCAGTACTCTAACAAACGGGTCATGGTCGATGCTTGATCTTGCCTTCCTCTTCCTTGTCCTATCTTCACCCCCTACTTGCACACACACTTCCTACACAGTACACTACCGTAAGACTAGTTGGGAGTTTAGAGCTTGCCTTGAGTGAGGAGATACCTGGTAGATGGAAACCTTGCAAGTCAATGGGTAGGTTGGTACCAGATCGCATCTGCAGGGAATGATAACTGTCAAAAAACATGTACTACACTTATGGTAAAATAATTTTAGCAGTTGACAGCTCCGAATCATCAATCAATCAATCATGTGATTTGTATTCCTGTGTTTATTCTAGTGAAAATTTAGTTTTATGAATAACCTTTGAAATTTATGATTAGAAGATAAAATTTGATATCTGTCATTTTATTTTTGTAATGAAGATTTATTTTCAATTTTATGGAAAATATAAATACCTCAAATGGTAATTTGACTATCTTGATATTATTACCAGATGTTATCACAAGCTGCTGTCAATTGGTCTTTTCTACACCATCTACCACGGTCAGACATAGAAGCATGTGCAGATGTTTTTAAGTCAAAAAATTCATTGGTTTGGGAAGGTTATGAAAATCAGATGTGGACTTTCATGGTGAGTGATATTGCCATTAAGTTGTAATCAAGTCAGCAAGGTATCAAACCAATGCAAATAATATTATGGTTGCAGTTAGTAAAATATTTAGGGTTCTGTTTTGAGTTTTGATATCAAAACATTTCAGTTTTGTTTCTGAAATAGTTTGTTTATGAGTAATTTACAAAATGTTGCCAACAGTTATCATATCTAATTAAAGCATTTTAATTTTTTTTTTTTAATTTATTGCTTCATTTTAACTAATGTTACCAAAAGATTTAAGATTTGAAGTAATATTATCACATTTACAATTTGTTTTTAAAGGGAATTCTTGAGCATAATTTTGAAGAGTTAGAAAGACATAGTTCTGTTTCTGTCTGTGGGATCTGATAAAAAAAAAAAGAAAATATCTCATCTTTTAGAGGCATTTGAAAAAACACCCCTAACTTTGGACATATGTTCTTTGCACAACAAGTCACTTCCCAGAATGTGAACCCAATGAGTTTGCTCTCATGTTGGGAGAGAGTTTTAAAGATCTTTTTAAAACTAAAATTGTTTTCTTCGGTTGTGGTTACAACAATACAGTTAATGAAAAATAATAATGGTTTTCAGGAGTTAAAGGGAGGTCAATTACTGAAATCGTTTTCAATGGTTTCGGTTTGATACCTTTGTTTGAGTATTTGTTGCGTAATATAATTATTGTAGAGTATATTTTAAAATGCCTTTAGATTTTGTTATTTTTATGTTTTTTCATTTCATACATGCTATTTAATTCTAACACTGATTCATGTGTGTTGATTTTGCACAGGCAGTGATTGTCAGTCTTCTGAGTGGTTATGAACCTTCAAGTAAAATGCCTGATTTTGATGGATGTAATGTGCCACCTGAGAAATTTTACCAACCTTAATATTAAGATATTCATTATTAAAGTTTATAAATAATGTTGAATTTTGAAATTAATCTATTAATGAAACATTTTGTCAGAATATTAGCACAAATTTCTTGATGATTTTGACAATATTTTGTGGGGAGGAAACAAATGTTAAAATATATGCTGTATGATCGTTTCATATTTTTACTTTCTCGCATTCTATTAATGTAGTATAGACAAAATACTGTAATGCTGTGCCCAAAACCGGTGAGTTTTCTATAGAAAAATTTATAGTCCCTGATAAGTGATGAAGCAGATAATTCTTGCTTCTATATATAGCAAATAACTTTCTCTATTATGTTGCATAGTCAGAATTCATGTTTTGCCAATCCTTGAAATGGAAAATTTGGGTTATGGCAAAACATCTGTTCATCTTTCAATGAACAACACTAGCAGCCAAACCACAAGTGTGATTTGCTCTAAACTTGGTATTCCATTATCAATCTGTCTGATGTCATAGCTCTAGAATTGGAATTTTTTTTGTTTTTTTTTTTTTTTACATGCAGCCCTAACATTTTCAATATTTTTTTCAAAAATGGCATCAAATTTGTCTCTTTTTTTCCCAAATAGATGCACCCTTAACTTGGCAACATATGTTGTGGGATACATAGATTTTGTGACAAAATATCTATTATTATAATAAGGAAATGATTTGGCAATGTGAGTCTTATTTACAATGTCTTTAAAATATATCATTCTGTGCTGCACCCTATTAACTGTAGTATTTAAGTGCAAGTGAGGAAATAAAACCCATTTTGGCACAAGTTGGTTGATCGTAGGATGTCTCCAGCACTTCATTCGGAAAATATAATTATTTTCGCATGATAGCGTTATTCTTTTGTATTTATTGTTATGGATCCTCTTCATATATGTTTTTTAAGTATAACACATCCAAAATTGATGTATGGAAGATGATAAAATTTATTCTAGAATGATTTTTAATCATGGTATGTGTAGAGATACATTGCGAGATACCTCACAAAGTAAAATACAATATACAATATTGTCTTCAATAATATATGAAGTGTTCTGATAATTTATAAATTATTAGTAGAAAATATTATTTATATATAATATTAAATTGATTTTGTATTATATTATTTTATTGCTATTATTATTATTATTATTATTATTATTATTATTATTTTTATTTTTGTTTTGCAAATTGGAAATCATGGGGCCACGCGATACTTGCATCCCAACAGGGCTCAGACTTGATAATGGAGGGGTAGGTGCACGTCTATTTTTATTCCCCAGGGTTGTTAGCCCTGGGAGATGGGATGAAATTATGATGGTGATGATGATGATGATGATGATGATGATATGATGAAAAAGACACACACAGCACAACCATGCAGAGGCGGGATTCGAACCCCTGATCCTTTGGTCCATGACTGCCACTTTACTACTGCCTTAGCAATCTCAGCCATCAGATCAGCATTATATTATTTATTGTAAAATATAAAATAATTATTATAATTTATTTATAAATTATTATTTATTATTATTCCTCAGTACAGTGACTTTTTATATATTTATTTTGTACTTAAAACTGTGTATATATTGATGTTACAATTTTTACTATAGTAGCAGATATGAGAGAATTCTTGCCATGAAAACACCTGTTTGGTATTTCATTATTATCAGAATCTTTAACATCACATTCTGCTGTTGCCCTCTCCCTCAGAAATTGTAAAAACCGATGTAGCAGAAGAATAACAATGTATTTGAAATACAGATTTATGATATTGATTCACAAAATCATACTGAACATCAAGAATGTACTAATGTTACTCATTAAGTTAAAGATAATTTCACTACAATGGAAGAGAGGCGTGAATTATCAGATAGAGATGCAGATGCAGTAACAGATAAATCTTTCTCTGTAATTCTGGCTCAAAACCAATACTAGTAGAAGTTGCCTTGTCCAACCTCTGAAATACATGTACAATAATGCAAATTTACTCAAATTTATTTTAATAGGTTGAATTTATATGAAAATTTCTTTTATTTTTAATGTATTATATTTTAGTTAGAGAGATGAAGAGTCGCAATTGATGACAATGGATTCACTGTTCTTGAAAATATATGCACTCTACTTAAATCTTCAAGAAATTTTTTGATTATGATCGAATTAATCTGATAACTTATATTCAACTCAAAAACATGAAAATGTATATCAACAAACTATTGAAAAATTCAAAGTTTTCTTGCAATAGAAATTCTTATGGGATTAGTGCAAATGCCAGTAAATGTTGATTGTTGGTCCATCAATCTGTAATACAGCCCTGTAGGATTTGTATCATGCACATGCTATAAAAGTGTTTCCTGATGTGAAAAATTGCCCTATTAGCATATTTAGAAATGATGATGTAATGATGAGAATTAATACAAAAGTATGAAGAGAGTATGAGCCCATTCCTTTCGGGTGACATAAATTTTATTGAAGTGTATTATATTTTAGTTTATTGAGTTTCCTTCAGTACTTTCTTTATTACTAAATAAATAAAAGTTGAATCTACTTATTGTTTTTGCCTTTTTGCATACTTTTGATGGTGTTAATTCCATATCTGATTCACTTCCTTTCAACATTTCAGTAAATATTGCTGTGATTAGTCAACAACTTGTACTATAATGAAACTGCTTCATCATAACTATCATTATAAAATAAACACTGAATAACTCTCTGTAGCTTATGTTAAATACTTTCTTTAAAGACATCTATAAACTGCAATTTTAACACAGATATGCGAGTTCTTCCTTATAATTTTGAAAAAAATAATTTATCTGCAGTATACCCTCATTAACATGAATTCCTAGGAACTGAGATAAAAGGTTTACAAAATAGGGTAACAGGTTTACTGAAATAAAAGGTAAACAATTTGTATAATGTTATATAATTTTGTTATAAAATTCTGTGTTATCAGATTATTATGTATATCTGTATTTTAATGTTTCCTTGCCAAATTTTGTTTGTGTCGAGCAGCGTTTTTTGGCAAATTTCATGTTAAGTGAGTAATGAGGGTTTACTGTATTTACAATGTTATAAAAATACAAATTACACTTGGTTGCGTAAAATTGATGTGGTAACACAGAATCACAAAACCACCTAGGCTAGTTGACTCTTGACTGGCAAATGATTTCATTAAAATCTAGCATAAATAAATGGTTTGCAAGTATATTTTTTGTTGACAAAATCTGATACTAAGGAATATCTGTAAACAAGTGCATGAGCATTGAATTATACGAATAAAGGAATGAATTATTCACATGCTCATTCACTTTTATAGTTGATAGTTTTTCATTTATTAACTCTTAACTTATTAGCAATAGTCTAGATGATGACAGCAGCGGCAACAACATTTTTCTACCACATAGTCTTCTCTTCTTACTTGCTGGAATTAGGTTTGCTGGTGCATTGTAAATGGCGTTGTCATATTGTGGCACATTTTTACACATTGTTAATCTTAGAAATGCGCTCACAAAAAGTAGTGAATGAAAAGTTGAGATATTTTTGTATTATCTTATTGTTTGACCATTTAAGACCTTTGAAAATCTTAAATATAATAGGGTAAAAATTCACTGTTAGGTTAGGGCAACCACTACTATATAATTAAGTCACTCTATATTTCAATAATTTCAAGTTTATGGTAGCCACAGGCATCTAATTTTATAGCGCATGCAATACTACAACCAATGCATTTTGACACTATATGGTCAGTGAGTAACTCCGTTGTTAGTCCCATGCTCAAGCTGTTTTATAAATCTCCCTCACTTTTAAGAGAATTTCTTTTAAAGGGAATAGTTCGTAAAAGAAACCAAAGGAACTATAAATCACTGTTGGGCACCATAAACTTTTGTTCAACCTGTTGCCAATTTGGTACAAGTTTAAGTCAATGTGTTGATTATTACAGTTATATATTTTTAAATCTTGAGTACCTTTACTACTTTGAAATAAATTAAGGTGGGTGGAATTTATCTCTCAGAAATGTTTTTATTTTATTAGGAAGAACAGATTTTAGAGAAATAATCTACTAATTATTGAAATAAACTGTGAAGGAATTTGAGAACCAATGGAACGAATAAATTTATATATATGTATACCATAGTCTATTAGGCCAGAAACCACCCCTAAAAATTATAATTATACCTATTTGAGATTGTTATTGAAGTACATGAATTCATCTGTGACCAAAATTTTCAACACTGAATTAGAAAGAAAGGAAAAAAAAAAAAGTTACATTGATTCAATTTTGATTGCAATTTTGATTTGTAATGACGGAATTTGATAGCAAAATTCCTTGATTTGGAATCCTCTTCAGAACATTTTTTAATACTTAGTTGTCTATTTATTTATTTACGTCAAAACTGTGTGTGACGTGCTATGGGGAGAAGTTAAATTGAAGTTACATTTATCTCCAGAAACAAAACAAGGGGCAAATTTTGTCACTTTGTTTCAGTTGTCATTTGAGAAAATGTTAAACCTATATTTACAAATGTAAGTGATACTGATGTCTCAACAATTAATTTTGAAATTGTCACTCACCAAACAATTTGTTGATGACGAACAAGAATGTAGAAATTAAAGATTAAGCAAATTATTACATCCCTAAATCTTCTGACAATGCCCCAGTGGCTTCTGCTTAACAAATTGGTGGTAGGTAGTTCAGAACATATAGCCAGTATACTGCCAAAAACGTATTGCTTGTGCAATGAGTCTTACGTGTTTCAGTATCTTTTAATAATCATATTCCCGCTCTTTATCGTTTCTCTCGAAAACTTTTCGTTCGACAAGTCTCGCTGTGAATCGCATGGTACGCGATCGTGTGGCGGTCGAGATTCGAGCCTACTCGAGACATCTTTCAGTACGACGAACGAAACGACGATTGAAGGAGGTCGGGGCGATCGGGGGTCTTGTGTTCTTTTTTTCTAAAACCTTTTTTCTTGTGATAATGGCAAATTTAAGACAAACTCCGTTGACGTGCAGTGGACATACACGACCAGTTGTGCATTTAGCATTTAGTGACGTTACAGATTGTGGGTATTTCTTGATATCAGCTTGTAAAGGTAAGTTCACCAAACACATGCACCGTACTTGGACCGTGTGGCTCTCCTTGGCCTATTTTTCGTCAGAACGCGATTTAAGTCGTAAAATTTGAATGCTGGAGATTTCTAAACATAGATGTAACGATAATGGTATTTTATTGTGATTAGATCTGTCTCGTTTGTTTTATACTGTACTAAATAAAAATATGGAGACCAAAACTCATACGTGAATGTCATTAATACACGACTGTTTATAACCTTGACGTATTGTAGCAGTGGTAAGAAAATTTTGAGATGGTCCTAAAGTTTTTGGCTGTGACATGACATACCGTACTGAAAATGTTTCGTATTTTATAGATGGAAAGCCAATGCTACGCCAGGGTGACACTGGCGATTGGATTGGAACCTTCGAGGGGCATAAAGGTGCAGTGTGGGGGGTAGCATTGAATCCACAAGCTTCGAAGGCCGCAACAGGTGCAGCAGATTTTAATGCGAAGGTAGTATATTTGTATATAGTATCTTTACCTGTGAGCAATCAATTTGCAATGAATAGTTGTTTGAATCACAATGTGGATTTTTGATTTAATAAATTTTGAGTTAGTCTCTTAAGCTTTTAAATTGAATGAATATTTACATCTAGTTAATTATTCTTAAGAATGTTGTTTCTGGGGAGGAAGTCTTTCTTTCAATTAAGTCATATTATGACTAGTCTAAACTTCTCATCTGATAGTGCACTAATTTTATTCTTTAGTTAAAATGATACTTTACTAGTGGAATAATGTACATTTTTAATTTGCATGGGGAGTTCGAAGTGAAAGTAAATATTATTTGTCTGTGTGTTTGTTTGTCTTATTCATCTACTCATAAAGGAAAAAGAATGAATTCTGCCTGTGGTGTGTCCCTGGCCTGGCTTGCCCTGCCTTACATTGAACTGCCCAAATCCACCCTGCTCCTTTCCGCACTCCTCCCCCTCTGCTGCCTCACGTGACCTTGTCCTTGCCCACCTTACCCTGCCATTTTCACCATTTCCACCTGATCACTGCCAACATCCTGAAAATTCCATAGCAATTCAGAAGTGTAGTGGAAGCGTACATTGAAAAACCCAAGTGTCTTCAAAATATATGTACTGAACCTCACAATCCGACACTGTATGAATGCCCAGTGACTCACTTCAATGGTACGGCCAGAACTGGTTACTTATGTCAGTGTGTTTGATGTGTACATTTCAAAAACAAAATTTTTAATATTATTGATATTTATATAGCATATACAAACACATAAAACATATGATACACATCAGAGACTGTCAGCTTTCAAGCAACATACATTTACTGAGATAGATGGAGTAGTTCATCTGGAAAGGGAAGTTTACATTACACATTTTAGAAATAATATGAGATTAATAAATAATATAAATGTTTATTCGTATTAATATTATATAATATATATAATATATTATATAATATATATATATATATATATATATATATTATAGCACACAACCACACAACTGGAACTGTGAATTTTCAAGTGAATCTGTTTTGATTGCAAGGTTTGGGATGCCGTTTCTGGTGAAGAAGTCCATTCCTTTCAACACAACCATATTGTGAAAAGTGTAAACTTCTCATCTGATAGTGTGCTATTTGCCACTGGAAGCAACGAAAAACTTGTCAGAATTTTTGATCTGAATAAGCCTGAAGCAAGTAAGTAATTTAGTAATTTTCATAAATCAGTTCTTTGAAGTTGGGTTATTTTGTGAGATATGCATCCCTCCATGCTATTGTCCCAATAGAAAACTTTGATGACTGAAGGTTGTCTTTAAGGCAGTCTAATCTTTATTCACTCTTATATCACCTCTTCTCTGCTTTCCACTATTTCCTTCTAACTGATAGAAATATTCACAACATCCACCCTCTGAGAAATAAACATAAGAAGATTAAAAGTCTTTGCCTAGTAACATCCGGTTGAAGAGACAAATGTCATTTCCGTTAAAAAGTTTCAAAAGAAGGAAGTTTAGGAGGCACAGTTACAATCATGTCAATATAGACATGATTGTAACAAAGTGGAACACCTTCACTAATCGGGATTATTGTGAAATAAAGAAATTATATAATTTATGCTGGTTTGTAAATTTGTCTTCTTAATTCCAGGTCCAACAGTATTTGCAGGCCATACTTCTGGAATAAGACATGTGATATTCTTCCGGGGAGATACTCATTTGATCACATGTGCTGATGATAGAACCCTCAGAGTTTGGGACAGAGCCTCTGGCCAGGTTAGCAATGTATTCTAAAAAAATATTTATTTATTACAAGCCCACAAAGCTTGTAATTTTTGATCAAATAAGTTTTGTGAATGTAGAGAGAAATGTCGTTATTGGACACTTGTGAGAAGTAATAAATCATAAGTGAGATTAGGAAAGTTTTAAAGAGCAATTTTTCTCCTGAACATTTTTAATTAATTAACTTTCATATTTGGTGTTTACCTAAATATTAGTTAGATTAATACATTTGCTTGTAGGAGAGAAAACTTTACAGTAATGTACAATAACAAAAGTAAAAAATAAACCTTCATTTTCTAGCAAAATTCTTCAGTTTTGCAAATCTTATTTTTAAAATTATAGGATGAAGTTTTAGTCCCCTGCTGTGAATATTGGAGCAGCAGTTTTGAATTATATATTTATAAAAATATGAGACTGCTGTGTCGTATTAATTTTTAATGACAAAGAGTTCAGTGATGCACTTGAGCTCTTCAGCGTCTCCCAAGCCAATGATACAAATTCAAAAATATGTACTCGTGTTCTATACTAACGAAAGTCATTCAACATATTACTTGTTAACTTCATAAATATTGACAATAAGTCAACAAAATACAATCAATTTTATATTCACCATAAAAGATAAAATTCGGAATAAGATAACATTACACCCTCCCTCCCCCGAGAAAAATCCTAGGTGTACCTCTGATAGTCTTTAATTAAAGGAAAGATGATGATGATGATGATAATAATAATAATGATAATAACAACAAAAATGACAACAATAAATAACAAAAAAGTTAATTTTGCGTAATTTTTTACCAATGTCGAGTTGGGGAAAAAAATACTAGTTATGTGTTGGAAAAAACAAAGAAACGAATGCATCATAGTTTACATAATATTAAGGTGTGGGTGATATGCGTACCAACTTGGAGCAAATGTGGTCTCACCGTATTGTGTATGACAGGTTGAGAATACCAGAATATGGCATAGAGATTGCTATGTGCTAGACACACATACCCCTTAAACCATGGCTGCAAGGTCAGAATGCTGCTGGTAGGTCTTAGCTCAAAAAGAGCTTATGTGCCAAAGTACATACATACATATTGTGTACAAAATGTTCTCTCTTGATGTTTTGTTTTAACCTGCAATTAAAATCTGTACCAGGCTTTGGAAAGAAATGGCTTTCAAATATTGGGTTTTAATGTTCTACAAATGAAAATTGACAGCATTTTTTAAAAACAGGTTTAGACGAATGAGATAGAATTGTATTTATACTTAAGAAAAAAATTCAAATGTACCTCATATTCAATTTTACTTAAGTGTTTCCACTTTTTATGCAGGAAGTTCAAAAATTAGATTTCAAGTCTATTCCTAGCAGCTTGGAAGTTTCAAAGGATGGAACTACACTAACAGTTACCCATGGAAACATTGTTAGTTTCTGGGATTCACAGACGTAAGTGTTGCTTACTTCATAGAAGTATTAATTTTCAGAATGGTTTTTACATTTTACATTATAGAAAATTTACATTTTGTTATATCAGTAGAGATTTTGCATTATCTATTTTTATTTAGTGTTTGACTCTTTCCATTATCGTTGCTTTTAATCCTTAGTTTGGAAAAGATTCGGGAATTCACTGTTCCTACTCAAGTGAATTCTGCATCATTGCATCCAGATAAAACTATATTTGTATGTGGTGGTGAAGACTTAAAAATGTACAAATTTGATTACACCACTGGAACTGAAATAGGTAAGCATCATATGAAGCATATGCTATCAAAACCAGCACCTTCCATTATTTACCAAATTTCATGTTTTCACATTTTTGTGAAGTTGAGGGGAATAGGCATAATGCCAGGGAAAATTTTGAGAGGGTTATAATACAAGATATTTTTCCTTAAAAAGAAAATGGTGCTATGACTATTGAGTAGTAACTAGTTTAGCAAAAATAGTAGCTCAATTTTTAGTTGTTGAGATTTTTTATTTACTTTATCACAGAGAAGTCAGTTGACAAATTAGTACCAGGTTTGCTTTAATATTATTTAAAAAGAAATAGAAATTCTTTGAAAATCGTCTCAGTGAAATGTAAAAAAAGTGTAGTGGAGAACCAGGAAAATTGGAGAAATATGTTTCAGAACACGAGTGGCATGAACTCACTTGTGACTTTGCTGAAAACTGGTGGAGTTGGATTAAGATCTTTACTATGCCTTATTGTTGCTTCATATATTAAATTTCATTTATGTAATTTATAATTAATTGTAATTTTTAAATGCCCCATGCCTATACTTAGATTTGAACACAGTGGTTCTTCCAGGTTATAAGCTAGAAGGAAAGAACATTGTCATTTAATTCGGAGCTCCAATACCCACAATTTAAGTCATAACAAAGCTCCAGATTGGCTGACAGTTTCCCCCAATCTGTCCAGCTTGTGACATTGAAGTGCCTCTATGTTTAAATCAGAGTATTTCTCTTTTGTTATATTCCAAGTGCTTTTTTCTGTATGGAAAGGGATATTGGTGTGAGATAATTTATAAGAGCGGGTGATAGAAGCCTACCCTATGGGAATTCAAGATGTGAATCTCAAAAGGTTATTTGAAATATTCTACTTTTGAATTCTTTTAATATAATAATATTGACTTTCTTCATGTATTTTGTAATTATTCAAGTTCCATATTACTACATCATTTAACATAGGGGTTTCCTCGCTTTCTTTCACATACATTCATTTAAATTTCCATTTGATACATTTTTGAGAGTTATGATTACTCAAATTGTTTCCCCCATATTTTAATAAAATATGTGAGAAATTTTAATGTTTTTGTTATGTCACGTAAAGAGATGTATGGATTTTAACTGTCTGTCAGAGTAAATTATTAGTGTACATATTTTTATAATTTATATTAAATATGATTGTTCAAATTTTTTGTTTAATTTTTGTTGTTTTTTCTCTCCTTTTTAGAATCTTTCAAGGGCCATTTTGGTCCTGTTCATTGTGTAAGGTTCTCACCTGATGGTGAGCTATATGCATCAGGTTCTGAAGATGGTACATTGCGTCTATGGCAGACTACTGTAGGCAAGACATATGGTCTCTGGAAATGTGTTGAAGGAACTGCTATTGCTGCAGAACCCATAGCTCCTCAGAAACAAGAAGTGCCTGCCAGTTAAGGAATGTCAGCTTTTATGCTATTCAGTACAGGCAGTCGAATTTCTTTCTGCAACTCTGTACATATTTATATAATTATCTGCTCAGAAAATATTCATCAATCATTTAATTTGTATACAGTGTTTGTGGAAAATGGTCTTGCCTTTTTACCTAAAACTCCCCCTTGCTGAGACAAGCTGTATAATTTCAGAAGGTGGCAGTCTATTTTGTCCAAAGTGATAATATTACCTGTGATGGTAATAAATATAATTTTGGCATATATTTGTTTTGCATTCTCTGTATGTGTGGCTCATGTACCATGGAGACTTTTTCCAGAATCTGTGATAAGATTTTTATATGAATGCAGATGCTGCAGACCTTTAATTACGGTAGTTACCTATCACAACTTGCAATTACTTGCTGCTGTTGTTTGTTTTTGTGACATTAAGGATATAGGAGTAGTATTTGTAAGGCACCTATGATTAACTCACTAGAGTTATTTTAAAATAACATCAGATAGATAAGGAAAGACGTTGCAACATGAAAGTGAACTCTCATTCAGAACGTGTTTTTTGCAGCTGATATCGATAGTTGTCATGTGTTGTATGAAGTATTTATTGCATTAATTTAATGATTTCATTTGACCTCTTAAATATGTTGAAGGATCTGGTAATTTCATAGCGGTTATTTATTTAAAATATTTTAGAATTGATTAATACTAGTTAGTAGTACGTTTACATTCGTTTCTGACTTAATTCATGTGATTTATATATTCTGGGTATTATAAGTTGCATGTCACTGAAAAGTGCAGTCTCGATGATTTGAACAATGAAATATCTGTTCTATTAGTAGTTCAGTTGTCCACATCCCTTATTACTTGTTTAATACTTACATTCCAAAATGATTTGAAAATCCTGGTGAAATAGAATGTCCACAAGATAATTATAAAATTTGTGTAACTTTAAAACTTCAAGAAAATGAATGAAATTCATAATTTCTAGTCGTTTCAATTTAGTTTCCTTTCTAAATTGAAGTTTCTGAATTTTTATTTTAACTTAATTCGTTCACCAAGTTTTTGATATTAACTATGCAAGACAAATTTATTAAAAAGAGAATTTTATATGTAGTGTGATTGGAAGAAAATAGTCTGTTTTAAAGTTTTGCTATGGGTCTTCCTTCAGTGTCATTATTGTCAGTTTGTGACACTTTACTAAGAAGTTGATTCTAATTGTGCTTTTACAAACATTGGCTGATCATTAATATTTTAAATTTTTCTAAAGTATCTTATTTCTGAGGAGTGAAATTGGAAACTTCACTTGTTGTTTTATTGTTATTCTTTCAGAACTTTTGTATTGGGTGTGTTTTTGCTTTAAAAACAAATGGTAGATTTATATTTACCTTATGAATATTTTTATTCTGGTTACTAAACTTCAGGAATTAGTTAATTTTTAATAATAGAAAATTCATTTTATTACTCTGATACCTTTTTTGCTGGGAACTGCAACAATAAATATTTGCAACAAACATGTGTCAAATTTTCTTTTGCGGTCTAACAGGATGTTCAGTCTATCAATCCTTTAATCCTCCTTAAACAAGGTTGTTACAGAAGGTAGTAGTGACAAGACCATTTAATTTACAGAGTTTTGAGTAGTTTTCTAGCTGTATTGAACCAGATAGTCACAATCTATCTGAATAATTGAGATTTCCGGTGAGAGGGGCAGCTAACCCACGAGGGTGTGGAACTGAGCTAAATTGAGTTTTGCGTTTAGTTTGTTTTATCACTAATTTGTGTAATAAAAGAGGGGTTTTGTCCTTGTTATCTTGAAGATAGCAAACTTGTTTTTTTGGGAAAATATGATACAGCAAGTATTTTACAGATGTTACCCAGCCCTAAAGGTAAGATTTGTTTCAACAATCTATCGATTGATTCTTTTTATGATTATTCCTGCATTCTGAAAGTTTGATTGTTATTTTCTTGTAGCGACACCACTAAGATATTGATTTTACAAGTTGCTAAGTTCTTGACTTTGAAAACTTTCTAAAATATTGAATTTTTTCCATTGTCCATTAGTATGTGGTGTTCACAGTTGTGGTTAGATGTATTAAGACAATTTGCATTCTTGCACTGGGTGTGGCTTGTTCTTCAGTACTGTTTTCTGTCATGTCACTAACATTCTTCACTGTTCCTCTTCCTACTACTTTCTTGTCTTGTTCATTTTGTTGCATCATGAATGCTTTCTTGCTACTTTTCTCCAAGCTGACTGACACAAATCCATTCCAGTCCCGCAAGTGTAGTGCACATTATATCCCTGTAGGTGGCAGTATTCCTCATAAAATCCGGTGCCAATCAACACGATTGGTTGTACCGTTCCTGGTATCTGCCAGAGAAGCACTGAAGTGGTACTGACTCTTCTCCCGATATAAGCAGTAGTAAGTAAACGTAAGTGTGAGAGAGGAGAGAATGGGACAAGAATGAGGAAGGAAAGATTGTGCGCTGTGTGGCCCGTATGTTAAGGCACTGCTCCGGTATACTAGTCTTCATTGGAGAAACAACGCAAAACTACCGATTTGCTAGAATTCTCCTCCAGCCAGTGATGAAAAAGACAAAGTTAACTAGCTAGTGTTGAAAATCTGTCGGGACTCTAGCCTTAGAACATCCAGTCAGACACTGCAGTGGGTATAGCTGTTGCCATGTGCTGTCTCAGCCAGTCATAGTGATACTTCTTGCTTAATGCCTTCATTTGTCATTCAAAACATGGAATAATGTAAGCCTGTAATAAAAGGTGAAAAGATAACATGGAATATGTCAAAATGTCATTCTTCTTGTTTTTATTTTGTGGAATAGCTTCTTTTTTCACTGGAAGCCTCAATTAGTTTTGTTTTCTTTTTCCAAAGGATATGATTTACAATAAGGTTCCCTTATGGGAATAAAATTGTAAATAAATTTTGAAGAAATAAGCTTAATAATTAATACTGAAGTTTAATTAAGAAAAGTATTGTGAGAGAGTTTTATTTGTAGATAGACATGCTGTGAATAAAAGTAAAAGATCTTTGAAATGCTCCTTCTTATATTCTAAAAAATGTTTTTGAATTGGTAAATAAAGATTCATAAGTATTGTGTAATCCAAAAGGACAGTTCATAAATATTGTCTAATAGATATTATACATGTAATTGTTTTAAATCAATGACAACTCTAATCTGTTGACATTAGCATAATAAAAAATCATGTTACCTAAAATTGAATTAGATTTTTCACCATGCTGCGCATCCACTTCACACACTTCTGTGTATCACACAATTCATAGACACATTGAGGTGATAAAATATCTTACGTAATGTGGATCTCACCAAATAGCAGAGGAGCAACACTGCCATTTCCCAAACCTTCGCCATTGTCAATCTTTTGTAGCTTATGGGCCAAATTACCATGTGATTGCCAATGACCAGACCTCATTATTACCAAACAAAATAAATTGAAGTGCCTTAAACAATGACTCTTCATAAATTGTTTACAATATAATACTTTGGTATAAAGGTGAACATCAATTTTACATTATAACTAGCGGAAACCAGCACACAGCAAACGTTCTGCTCATCTCCCACTTTCTTCTTCCCTCTCAGCTTCTCACATTGTCGCTTTCTCTCTGCTCTCTAAATCTTTCTGTGTGCGCGCGCGCGTGTCGCTGTCCCTCCTTTTATCTCACTATGCTTGTATTTGTTTCTGTTTGCCTCTCAAATTATTTAAAAATATTTGTGTGATTGACCTTGTACTAGATCTACAAGACTTATCAGTAACGTAGCTAAAGAATGTCGCATAGAATGTTTATCGTTAGCCGACCTCTCCAGTTAATTTTAAAAAAAAATTTAACGTTTTTCATCTTTGAAAGAAAATATGCACACACCAACCCACGTCGTGACCGCAGGCCAGTCTCCGTAAGGTGGAAAACAGCGGACGAGTTGCGGAGTGAGCAGCGGGTTAGACCTTCGATCATTGGCCTCCGGCAGTGGGGGGGTCTCCTCCCTCAGATATTTTGGAGTACATTCAGTTGTTTTGTTCTAATTTAACATTGGTGTTTGTTGTATACTAAAATCAAACTCTGGTTACAATATCCAGAACAATTTATTTTCAATCCAATGCCTAAGAGTAAACCCTTATTTATTATCACCCGTCACAAATAGCCACGAGATGCGAAATACAAGCCAGTTCGTTACACAAGTTTGTAATGTAGAGTCCAAAGAAAGTCTAGTAACAAGCCCGTTAACAAATTAAAGAAGCTACCACTAGTGAACTGATGTCTCTTCAGATTACGAGTGCGCCTTCCACGGCTGTCGCGCGGAGGCCCCCTCAGTGAAGGACACTACCATCAGAATGACAGTTCCAGGATATATGGGGGCAGTACGTAGCATTCAGGCCATGAAACGACATGGTGCACACGAAAATGTTTTGTTGATTTTTATTGATCAGAAAGTTAAAAGTCTGGGAACGGAATATTATGTACTGGCACAGTAGGGCTTCCCTCACATTGCTTTCCATCATTACTGCCTAATCGCCGCCGCCATCGTCTTCAGCGCTTGCGTCGTTTTCTAAGTTTACTTTCAGAATAACATCAGAGCATCTTGCGTAAGTACCCCTGCAGGTCCACCTCTTCACACGTGGTAGCAGCAGGGCCGGATTTTTAGTAGTACGGGGCTCCAAGCACAAAATTGTGTTGCCCCCCCCCCCTAAAAAAAGCTCCATCTTTATTAAATAACAAATCTATTATAGTACAAGTACTTTCTGTACAGATACAAATGAAAACTGATAATTTTTTATAGAAATTTTTACTTGTTACATTTTTTACATTAAATACATTTTACATAATTTTTTTCTGCTCTTCACTGCAGAAAATCGGTCGATTATGTTTTCAAAACGAAAATTTCTCAGCTTATCATGCTCCATACTCTGGATACTTAGGTCAACTAAATTTTCTTGACACATAGTCGTACGTAGATAGTTTTTTATCCGCTTCAGTTTACTCAGTAGACTATTCAATTAACAATTATTTCACAGACAAAAAAAATATGATATGCGTATTTTTCCGAAACGCGGGGCCCCTGGTGAATGGGGGCCCCCAAGAAACTGCTTGTTTTGCTTGTAGGTAAATCCGGCCCTGAGTAGCAGCCATGTGCTGCGGCGCGTGGTTTTCCGCTTCCGAGAATCTGTGAAACGATGAACGTGCCCTCCAGCTTTCCTCCATTCGTTTCTTGGCATATTTGGGGATTTTTCTTAATGGGGTGCTTGTGCAAAAATCTCCGCGCTTCCGAAGTAGCATCTCGGGGATTTTAGCCCATCACTGAGATATCACCCGTATCCATATGCGTACGCAGCTTAAAATATAAGGGGAGCAACTACATTTCTGAGCCCATTTTTCATTATACACAAGACATTTTTCTGGAAAATAAAACATTTTCCAACGACAATGAAGCCATCGTTTTAATTATACAATAATTATTATATTGTTACGAATATTGCGTCACCTGTCGAATTCGCTGCGCGTGGATTGCGTCATCTGCCGGCGCCCCTTCCCCCCCCCGAACTAGACGGTTCCGGACTATCCGCGAGCCGCGGGGAAACGCCGAGAATGTGCCGGGT